GCGCTCTTCCCACAAAAAATCACCAACGGCACACGAAAATAGAAACGCTGATGACAGGTCGAACTCCATCATCTTATTTAACGTCCCTGTGTGCCATGATAGTCTCCTTGAGAACAGAGAACCTTTTGACAAGCAGCAATGGGAAACCGTATGCACCAGACTAGGACTGGATAGCCTAGAAGCAAAAGTGTGCAGGCTCTACAAAGGCAACTACCTACCTCATGGAAAGCCTCCGCCAATGAGAGTTACCCTGAGCTCGGCTAAAGAAGCGGAAAGATTCTTGCTGATGTCACACACATTAGTCGTCAACAGGCCATCCAGCATCAGAGCCAGACCGCCCTTGGTCGGCAAGAAAAGTATCTCGCGAGGCGCCCAAACGCTGAAACCAACAACTATGGTTGCGCACGGCAAACAAGAACCGACAACCGGCACAGCCGTAGAAAAGTATGCTCACGACGTCCAGCAATGGCAGTGGTTGTCAGCGAGGATGGGGCCGTATGGGATAGCAGTGGCGGTGGTCTGCAGACTGCCACCTCCCTCACATTTGACGACGATAACAGCACCCCGGTTGATGGCTGTTAACTTCGGCTGCCAAGAACTTTTAACCAGTGTACTGCAAACTTGGTACACAGTAAAAGATAACATCAGTGGGAATGTTCGCTGCTGTGAAAGCAGGCTCAGGACACTGCGACAACAGAAAATGGCAGCACCGCCCACCGCTGAAGTTACCATCACTGTCAACAGACAAGATGTACAACCAACCCTTGACTCTATGAAATCCCCGGAAACCATTGTGGGAAAAAAGTGATTGGGCCGGTTCCGCCGGAGCTGGCCATCCTATAGCAAGTTTCGCCACTACGCACGACTCCCTCCAGTTTGTCAGCACCGAGATACCCCCCGTCGTTGGAAACACAGCCAAGCGTCTTTACAATAGTGTGGGGGAACTTAGAAGTAAAATGGGTCAATTATGATTTCTCTGTTCTTACTTTGCGCCGACGATCATAATCCTGACAGAAACTAGGTTATCGCCGGACATGAGCGACGTCGAAACTTATATGGACGGTGTGCGTCTGTTCAGGAGAGACAGAGAGTTTAAGGAAGGAGGCGGAGTGGCGATGCTTATAAGTGATAACCTTAAAAGTGAACGAGCAGCTGAAACCCTGCTTCCGGGGCTACCAGACTCCATCTGGCGTCAGTTTAAGGTTGGATACACCAAGTACCTAGTAGAAGGCGTCTACGGAACACCTACTAGCAGCGAGGAAGATAACCGACAACTGCTGCAAGTAATGTCCCGAGCGACATCCATCGGATGTGACCAGGTCATTATAGCCGGTGGCTTTAATGCTCCGACTCTCAATCTTGGGCAGTACAAGAGAACCTCAAGCCGAAGTTTCGACCGGAACCTACTCAACACTATCCAAAAGGCTGGGCTGCACGAGAATATTAGCGGTGACACTGGCTGGGGGTCGGGCGGAAAGCCGTCCAAACTGGACTACCTTTTTACCAGTGACCCACTGCCGGTAGGAAATGTACAGGTTCAAACCCCCTCGGCAGCAGCGATCATGGTGTGGTAGTGTTCGATCTGGTACTCTCCGAGCAACTGTCATGGGAGGCATCACGCCCTTGTCTTTGCTACAACAAAGCGAACTACGTGGCGATGAAGCAATATCTGTCGACAGCACCATGGCCCCAGGGGTGGAGCAACCTGTGGATTGACCAACACTGGGAACTAGTCAGAGATGTCATCAAGAGGGCTGTCTCTGAAAACGTCTCGGTAATCACAGCAATACCGCGGAAACGAACCTCATAGTTGAAGTGAGGCAATGAACGCCCTTCGAAAGCCAAGAGGAAAGCACGTCACAAGTGGAGGACCTCCAGAAAAGTGTCTGACCACACCGTATATATTGCCCTAAGAAATCGATGTAACAGAGTGAAAGGTGACAGAAGGTCATTCCGGACGAACCTTGCTCAGAAGCTCGAGGCAAATCCCAAAAACCCATATCGGTTTATGGCAGGCAGAAAATCCACCAGCCAGGGGGCTTGAAAGGCCTAGACGGAGAGGACCTCTCCGGACTAGAGATCGTCGAAGCCTTTAGTGCCGCCTTTGATACGCAACTCAACACGCCCCTATCAAACCAAAATTACCAACTGCTCGACTGAAATTCAGCACGACCAAACGCAGTAGAGTTACCTGGAATGAAGGTAACTCCTGCTATGGTCCTCGAAAAACTGTCGAAGCTCCGCCTAGGGCAATCACCAGGGTGTGATGACATCCGACCGGCTGTGTTGAAACAATGCGCGGGTGCCTTGTGCGGTCGGCTGTGTAACTTGTTTCAATACTCCTTAGGCAATCACATGCTTCCACAAGAGTGGAAAAGTGCTCTTCTGTCCCCTATCTTCAAAGGTGGAGGCAGGCAGAACCCAAAATGCTACCTACCCATAGCCCTCCTACTAGTGGTGTCAAAACTAATGGAGAGTCTGGTAAACGACTATCTCAGGGAGTACTGAGAAAAGAGGGGAGCACTTAGCGATGCACAACATGGTTTCAGAAAGGGTAGGTCCTGTGCCACAAACGTTCTGGCGGCAGGTGATAAGTCGATGGCATGCTGAGACCTCCAAATTCCTGTCCATGTTATTCTCCTTGGTTTTACCAAGGCTTTCGGCACAGCTCCACACACCGTTCTTATTCACAAAATAGAAAGGTTGGGCATCAACGGACAAGTGCTTTCATGGTTGCAGGACTATCTAGACGGTGGACAGTTCTGCACAAAAGCCAACAGAGTTTGCTCGACCTGGAGGACTCCATCATCTGGTGTATCACAAGGGGCGATTCCGGGTCCTCTGCTGTTCCTTCTTTTTGTGAACGACCTCTCACTGTACCTCAGTTCCCCAATTCTACTCTATGCTGATGATTTTAAGCCATGGAGAGCTGTGAAGTCAGAAACAGAATCAAGTGAACTACATAGTGATCTCAGGTTACTTGTAGAGTGGGTGGATATTAATAGACTTGCATTTAACCTAGATAAATGCCGAGCCATATTTCTCCGCACCCCAGACTCTCATAAGGTACCCTATTCTCTCTGTGGAACACAACTCTCCTACACCACCATAGAGAAAGACCCAGGACTAATACTAACTGACAAACTAGACACTAGCCCCAATTATTCAGGAGATGCCTCCAGAGCATACACAGTACTGCACCTCATGCACAGACAGTTGGGTGCCCTGACCTCGGAACTCTTTTTGAAGCTACATAAGACCTACACACGACCCCACCTAGAGGTATACAACGTCATTGCATCACCACATCTGAAAAGAGATGTGACCTCCTGGAGAAAGTCCAAAGGAGAGCTTCAAAGGGTGTCGTAGGAATGAGGCAAAAACCATATCAGGACAGGCTGAAAGATCTAGGGCTCTTCTCCCTAAGCTACCAAGGATTACGTAGTGACTTGATAACGGCTTACAAAATACTCAGTAACCCAAGTCATCCGAACAGTGGAATCCTACCGAACGGCCACTGTGGCAATCCTCGTGGTAACCCAAGGAGGATCGCTCACTAAAGAGCGAGGACACCTGTGTGATCACACTTCTCTCTGCGAGTTTGCGGGGACTGGAACGCATTGCCTGCCGAGATTGCTACTGCTCCGTCTGTTGACAGCTTCAAGAAGGGGTTGGACAGTTACGCAGCAACGCACGGTTTGCGCTTATCCAACTGGGATGTGGACTAAACTGACAGGACTTGCTAACTCGGTACGACCAACCGTTACTGAACACTTTGTAAAACCACTATCACTGAGAACTTGGCTTAACCTTATACCTTCCTGTAGACGTCCCCTCCAGTCACCGTCCTCTACTAAAAGAATTACTATATTCCCATTCGTCCTATCATGTTATTTATTCTTCTTACTTCTGACTTTACGTTCTCGAACTCTGACAAAAGCTCTCCCTATCACCTATTCCCCAAGGACCTACCAATGTTCACTCCTCCGTGCCGTTTCTTTTTCCTAATCTCTCTTTTAAATTTGTATTATTCTTTTTCTTTTTTTCCTTTTCTTTTTCTACTTTGTTTCTCTCTGCACTTTCTCTCCCTTGATTTCTCTGCACACATTTTTCATCTCCTTTTTACAACTAGTCCGACCAATTGTCTGCTGGCACGACATATGAGGAACCCATCTGCACCACAGTCCTCGGAAGAAAAAGCAAACAAACAAACAATACTCCCTACAAATCTAAACAACACCCAACCGCCCGTCGGGCTAAGCAGAGCTACAGCAGTCGAGTGGGTAGACCTACTGCATTGGAATCCACTAAAGACCTGGAACCGTTCCGCAAGGCTTAAAAGCGAGCGCGAAGAAATTAATTGGTTTAAACTAACTCGTTAAAAGATATTGGATATTGGAAAGGGGTATAACAGGACAAAAAGATATGTCCCACAAGACGTAGAAGAGACCGAGAATGAATTAATTGGTTTACACCAGCCGGTGCAGGGATAGTGAAAATAATTGTGTTTTAACTAACTAGAGTCATCTCAGCTAATGCAGCGGTATTTTATGTGGAAGTGAACGAAGCGGTTTGTTTTTGAAATATGGTTATTAGCCGACGATCACTGAAGTGGATTGCCGGTCAGTCAGAAAGCTTAAATGTGTCTTCTTCTCAGAACAGGTATAAGTTCATCAAGAACAACTCGCTGCCACACTCACGTACCATGTTAAGTTCTTTTAAGTGGGACAAGTCCTCAAGCTTGAAGTCACCTAGTGTGCCTGCATCAAAACAGTATTCATCCGTTAGAAATACTGGACCTAATAAGAACAGGTCTTACATTAGAAGCCAGATAAAATATGAAGTGACAAAATATTCGCCAGTCACAAAGTTCGAGAAAAGTGGACTTTATAGTTATGTTAGGAAAAGCAACCAGGATGATAAGTCCACTCTTTGTTGTACATCAGACAGGTTATCTCACAATCTACCTCGTGGTGGTTTCACTTCTGTTCTAAGACAGAATGCAACCACGTCGTCTAAACCTAGGGTAAGTATTAAAGTGGACAGTAGATTTAAGTATGTTAAGCCTGGGGTTAGTCCTCCAAATTCAAAGTCCGATGCGATAGGAGACGCTAGGGTTGTGACTAGGTTTTCTATCAAAAAGGTGAAGCAGCGAACTGTTCCCGGTCATCTACGTTTCATTACAAGTATGCTAAATTTTCTCAGAGTGCTTTCTTTGAAGGAAAATTGTGCAAAAAGCTGTACACAGCCTGAAGTTCAGACGCCAAGCTGTTTGTCAAGTTTATTGCAGAACGGGAAAGTGTACTTCCAAGACATGTTCTTTCTCTCATAATAAAAACTATCTACGGATATGTCCAAGGTGAGTTGGTTTATAGTTCGACTATTCACATTTTCCTAATTCTTTTGCACTAAACTCTGCATTTAATATAGACCTGAAAGTATGGATCCTATCCCATTAAAAAAAATTGCATAGGAAACATCGGTAGTTTGCATTGTTGCTGCTAGGTTACAAATAGAGGGAATAACGTCTACTAGTTAATGACCCAGTAGTTTCTATTTGACACTGCGCACATAGCCCACCTTTGAAATTTCCACATTCTTCTTCAGCCAACATTTTTCCACGTTTGCTCACCTTCTTGTTTTCAGTAAATAAGATCCAAGGTAACTTAGCAAATTAACTGTAATAAAGCAAGTTTTACTGTGATTATGGGACTGAGTGCTGCTTATAATTCCGCTTGTTTACCCGGTGGTTGGTCATCAGCTAGTGTGAGGTCTGTTTATGGCCAGCTGCTCAGTGTAACCCACTTTATCGGAATGATTCCCATGGTGTGTTCTAGGGAACAATGCATCTCAGATTACAAATGGTGCTTGTCACTGTAAACGTCCATTTGTGTTCTGTAATAGCAGATAACAGCATCGGCCACGTGTCATGAATAAAACAGTAACACATAAGTGACTCATTGGGAACTAACTATGCAGTCAGTTGGAAGGGATGCAGAGCTCAACTGAGAAGAAAGTTTGGATACATTAGGGTTACCAAGTTACCTCTGTATAATTTCCTAATCAGTAACTTACAGTAATAATGCTGGGGTACTTGTCAGTAAAAACGTGCAATTTTTCACAAGACTCATTTTGTGTAAAGGTCACTTTACGTATTCTAATTCACTTACAACCGTCCTTCAAAATGTTATACTTTTTAACTGCTATGCCAAATTATGAAGATAATCTTTAAGAAAGCTAACATCTGGTAAGGTTTGGTTTTCTCTCATTGCTCGACATTTCTCCCTCTGATCTTGGTTTCATTATATGAGTTTGCTTACCATATTCAATAAATGTGCCTTATCTATAGTAAGAAGAAGTTGTGCACCTCTCTTATTATGATAATGTACAGTTTCAGAATGTTTCAAGACCTGTAAAGATAATTGTTTCTTCGAAAAAAAGTCCAGCTACCCTAATATGTTAAACATGTCTGCACTCAACACTATGCGATTATTAGTGTAGTTCGCTGTATACCGTGTTTGCTCTTATGAATTGAATTCATCAGTTTTTCAATAATAATAATAATAATAATAATTCACTTTATTCCGTACGATTTGGAATTCTCAGCGTAATTGTGGATGAAACTGTCAACGAAAATTTAGCGAAATAACCAATCAGTTCAAAACATTTAATTTGCAGAAGTTTGTAATCCTAAAAACTCTTTAGAGTAAGAGATATCAAAATTAACCAAAGTGTTTACCGTTTTACATGAATTCGGCAGACTACTGTAAACGTTAACATTTCCGTTTCCACTTTATTCTCAAGATTTCTGCAGCAGAATTGCCCTCTGGGGAGCGATGCTTGTCCACTTGCTCACGTGTTAGACCCATGTCGAATACCACAATGTTCTTTCTACGAAGCTGGAAACTGTGGACGACCACACTGTCCGTATCTTCATGTCAGACACCCTGCAAAATCGGTCGTTTGTTCGGATTTCGCTTATGGTCGTTGCCCACGGGGTCGTTTGGTATGTCCATTTTTCATCTTCATTAGGTACTTATCATTTAACAATGTGTTTATTGCAGCTCTTCACAACTCTGTAGTCAATAGCTTTCTCTCAGTCTTAGAAGTAGTAAATTTTTATAAACTCATGAATGTGATTACTTACTTTGTGTGAAGTCACATTTCCCTAGTATGGAATATAAAGCAAATCACCTTTCCTATAAAAATTTTGCGAACTATACGTTTTTCACTCTGATAGATTGACTAGTGTATCATAATGTATGAACCGTTGGTAGTGTTGATGATGGTTTTATATAACACGGTTATTTGTAAGTAGTATGTAAGTTGCATATACTCACAAGTGCGAATACATGCGTTATCTCACATTTTCAGCAGAACGGCTTTTAGTCTTCATCATTCCCCTCTCTCTATCTTCTCGTTATGACTTCCTTTCGTCACTATGTCCGTCCAATTGGTTCTCGTTCATCATCAGTGTAGGACTATGTATTATCGCATAGCAGTCCAAGTTACCTCAGCACATCACCGGATAAAGCCCTAAGATGAAATATAAATAGAATAGAAAGCAGTCAAAGTATTAGGAAGTCATGATAAGATGACAAGAAAGAATAAGAAAGTACTAAATTCAGTATAATCATTAAGTTAACGATAGTTTGTGGATACATCTGCGCCACTGACATCGAACCTGAGACATGTCACCTAAACTCCAACTACTGGTTTCTGTTTTCACGCGGACCCCAAATTGTAAGTCTGCGTTTCCCCATATGGCTCACAGCAAACAACCAATGGCTTCAAAGAATGATGACATGTTTTAGTCTATCCACCTGTAACATATTTTCAACCTGAAATTACCTCAGCTAAGAGTTTGCGACGCAGCTGACTGACTAGTGAAATCAGCCTAGAACATCGAACAGGAGTGCATCGACTGAAGTTGACACAGTTCAAGATAGTACATAAAGAATAGGTGGATAGAAAAAGCCAGACCAAAATAGATGAAGTAGTGTAAGAGAACAAACGATCTGAAGATGAAAATTACTTCAAATATTCAAGCTTTAGAAGATGTTATGGAGTGAATACACCTGCGCCATCGTAACTGATTTTCAGCAAGTGTCCTCAACCAATGATTCCTTTCTTCTTGAAGATCCCAACCTGCTAGTCTGCATCACTTTACACGACTCTTTACACGACTCTTACACTTTACACGACTCAGTCCAACATTCGGAGACTCCATTGACTAGTGCCGTATCTTGGTCCGACCACCCTGAACCCTCTTCCAAGCTAATCCAACTTGCCCGAGTATGGCGCGTCGAGGTAAGTAGTGGATCGGGATGCACAGTACATGTTCAAGCCGTATCAGTCGATTTGCCTGTCTTGCCTAGTAGCCTTCGCCTGACCTCAACATTACTCACATGGTGATTCCACCACACACGAGCAATGCTACGAAGATACCTGTGGTCGGAATCCTGCAACCGCTTCATGTCGCTTACTTTTAACGGCCAAATTTCAGCCGTGCAACTGGGTAGAACGGACTTCACCGCAGTATACTCGTGCTTTGATAGATAAGCGAATGTTTCGCAGGTCAGGACCACAGACAACGCAAGTTGGCAAATGCAAAATGAGCCTTCTGTATCGAAGCTAAGATTTCGTCAGCAAACAGCCCATTCGGACTAATCCAACTCCCTAAGTAAATGAAGTGATCGACACATCCCACCACTTCACTCCTTATCATTAAACTGGGAGTACTGGCAGCAGACCAATCCTAGCGCATCATCTTACATATGACAAGCGCCAGCGAAACGCTTACGTACTAGGTGTGTGATCGGAGTTCAAACAGGTCCTCTAGAAAGAACGATAATCCTCCAACGATATCTTATAGCAATGTGACCTATCTGTGTCCATCGTCAGTTTGATGTCGACGGACGCCATGTAAGACAATATCTCTCCTTATGCTTAACGTTATTGCTGCCCAACTTCCCTGCTTGAGCGTTAAAATCACCTGTCGTTATGACCACATCTGAACGTTTTGATTTCTGTAACGAAGTTGACAGCTTCACTTAGAATTCATCCTTTGCATCACGTGAGCTACAATTAGTGGGTGCGTAGGTAGAGATTACGAATAGGCATCGTTGAAGAAACAGACGGCGAGTGCGTATGCTTAACACATGTCACAGCCACCTCATTCGACGAAGGTTCACAATCTCACCAACTGACTTTTTCCCTCGAAAACTCTACATTAGTATTCTACGTTACTCACGTAGTGTCCGCATTCCGTAATTATTATGTGTGTTCTACACAATCGACGTGACAAGTACTTTTGCAAGATTAACAGGATCATGTGCCTGACCTCATCCTCGATGTTGAGTTGTTGGAAGTAGTCGGGAAGTTCGTGTATCCGGGTAGTTGTGTGACTGCGTTAAGATGAGGATACTGTGTGTATACATCTGTGCCACTGACATCGGTTCTGAGCCATATTACCTAGAGTCTCCATTGACTGGTTCCTCTTGTCCCGCGGACCACAACCGGCTAGTCTGCATCGCCCCCACATGGCTCAAACCAACAGTCAGAGACTTCATACATTGATGCCATGTTTTAGTCTGACCACATTGGTCCTTTTTCCTGCCTGCTTCGGTCAACATTGTGGGACGACAGCGTGTTTGGGCATGATGGAGATCGTCATTCATTGGCTTGGACGTGTGTTACGCATGTCGTCCCAATGGCTTCCATGCGGTTCATTGTTTGCTAGCTCTGGGACTGGATAGAAAAGCGCGGAGGGGGGTGGTTGGTGTATGACATGGCGCCGCGGGATGAAGGATAGTTGTATTAGGTTAGCATCTATTGGTGTATCATGACTCCCTGGGTGACGTTCGAGAGATCACGCAATTCAGTTGCTTGAGATGTTATTAGATATGACTCAGAATAATAGCCATGATGTTGCTTCTTTCTATCTTCTACTGAAAAATATGAATGTTTTATTTTGAATGTGTCTTATTGGACTGCCGTCCTAATCATTCTATTCTCATTGTTTTTCTTTTTATCCACTTCCTTTCTCCGTACGTCTTCAAAATAATGTTATATTTATGTGGCGTATTTCTTGGTGCTCTTGTTGTATCATGTTTGTGTTCTAATCATAAAAACTACAACACGTCGTGTGCTACGAAGGCAACGGTGGTCAAACGCCTGAAGCATCAAGTTCTTTATCTTTGATGACCATGTTTCATAGCTATACAGTAGAACAAAGCGAACTGCAGTGCAGCTCACCCGACCCTTAATGAACATTCGAATATCATCCTGGTGCCATAAATGGCGTGAGTTGGCGGGAGCCAGGCGAGCCTTTTGCATCCATGCAGAGGTTTCTTCGGTCACTGACTCATCAGAGCTAACCTGACTTCCCAGATAAGTAAAGTGGTCGGCGCTCTCGACAGCTTCACTCCCGAATGTTAAACCGGGCACTAGGGAAGTTCTAAAGCAACAATTTGCATTTGAGTGACGAGGAAAGCATCCCAAACATTCTCAAATTGCCACTCAAGATCTTCATAAGACTGCATCTTCTCAACATCTATTGTAGCAAGAATCCATACCCTGGATCTACCAGGGATTTTCCTACGATAAGACCAATCCCTGTAAAGTCACTATGAGGGGGAGACCTCCATAGGTGCGTTTATGGTAAATTTGAGTATGGAGACAGTGGACGTCCTTGAAGGACTCCACTCAGTGTATGCAACTCACCATGGTCTCTAACACGTTCGCGGGTATTCGAGTAAATAGCCTTCAACAGAGTGATGTTCTTATTCCGTACTCCTTTAAGTGAAAGATACTGCTATAAGAATTTTTTTATCCTATTGAGTCAAATGATGCCTTAAGAAATACAACAGTGTTGGGCTTCAGCAAGTATCCCTGTTTTCTAGAACCTGGTGGAGTGTGAATATCTGATCGAAACACTCAAGCCAGGTCTAAAACCCATCTGATTTTCTCATATGAAACACCAAAAAGCTTCCATTTTACCCGATGAAAATCTAGTAGGACTGAAAAAACTTGAAAACACTTGAGCCATTGCTGATCATCACACTATAATTTCAGGCCACAAGGTCGGCTCACTGACAATATCGAAATTATTCAGAAAGTCTTTACAAATTATGCAGAAGGTCTCATAGCAGAATCCCTTCACATTCAGTGCAACTGAAGTTGTCTAAGTAGAAATGAGGGAATAAAACGTAGATTGACTTGGTCTCAACCCACCCCCACTTACTGACTTAACCAACATACATAAGATAATAATTACCAACACACTTATACACCACACAATACACTACATATGGATATCATCCTTGTTCAGCAATTTGACAACGCGGAATTATTCATGCAGAAGAATCCATATTAACTTATCATATATTGTAAGCTTGCAGGATATTGTAAATTGCGGTTTGGTATAACAAATAAAGCTATTGCCAGCATTAAATAACTAAAGGTGATTTGAAACGAATTTATTTTGTTTTGCATTCTTTATTATTATTTGTCCCTTGGGTTCCTAATGGAACATGGGCCTTCAGTAGCACGTCTCCAGTGCACTCTGTTCTCTGCAAACTTTTGAACCTGGTTCAACGACAGCCCAGAAGCTCTCATTTCTTCCTCGCACGATCTCCTCCATGTCACCCTCGGACGCCCAACTCGTCGCTTCCCATCTGGGTTCCACTCGAGTGCCTGGCATGGCGCACGATGTCCCCAGTCGGCCTTCTCAGTGTAAGCCCAATCCATCCCCACTTCCTTCTGCATATTTGTTGAGCGATAGCTTCTTGCTTCGTTGGTTCGTTACCAGGCCAGAGTTCCTTGTTGCTTATTCTCTCTGGCCATCTGATCTTCAGTAACGAGCCAGCGTAGGCAGTTATTGATGGATGTCTGTAGTTTGTTGGAAATCCCTTTCGTAACGCGCCAAGTCTCTGAGCCATATAGAGGCACTGACTTGACGTTGGTGTTGAAAATCCGGATGTTGTTCTTTGTGCTGAGTGCAGAAGATCTCCACACTGATTTCAGGTTAATCAACTCCTGTCTTGCTTTTCCGATCCTGGCTTTGACGTCCTCGTCTGTGCCTGTGCCGCCTGTAGTTGAAACAGTACTGCCTAGATAGGTGAAAGAGGCTACTTCCTTTAGGTTCCTCCTGTTGATGGTGACCGGAGCTTGTTGTTGGTGGTGGCATTGGTTGGGTATCTTCATCACCTCTGTCTTCTCTATGTTCACTTGAAGTCCTGTCTTCGCTGCACTACCTCTTCTGTCAACTTGCTGGATTTTGCCTGTGGATCTTCAAGTTTGTATGGCATTAGACACGAGTCGTCGGCGAAATCCAAATCTTTTCTGCGGTCCAGCGTATCCCCCTCTTCTCGCTCCTCACTGTTTGCTGCATGATCTAGTCCACCACAATCAGGAATATCATGGGTGATAGTAGACAGCCTTGTTTCACTCCTGCCTTCACTTCAAATGCATCACTGAGCTTCCCATTGTGAATTACTTGTCATGTAGAGTCTTCATATAGTTGTTGAATGAGGCTGATAAAGGTTTGTGGTATTCCGTAGTGATGAAGCAGTTGCCAAATTACTTGTCGGTCGACACTGTCGAAGGCCTTTTCAAAGTCGACTAAGTTGAGGTAGAGAGTTGACTGCCATTCTATACCCTGTCCTATGATGATGCCTAGTGTTGCGTTGCAATTTGATCGGCACATGATTTGTACTTCCTGAATCCAGCCAGCCAGCCTGTTCCGGTCGTAGTTTTGAATCCAGCGCATCCTTTAATCTCTCCAGGATGATGCAGCTTAATATTTTGCTTGCTTTGGGTGGACAGCAGCGTGATTCCGCGCCAGTTCTTGCAAAGATTTAGGTCGCCCTTCTTTGGGAGTTTGACAAGGTAGCCCTTTTCCCAATCGCCAGGTACCTTTACTTCCTTCCAGACCTTCTGCAATAGTGGTGTGAGCATGTCGGCTGTTGTCTCTGCGTCTGTTCTCAGTGCTTCTGGCTGAATTCCATCTGGTCCTGCTGCTTTCCCTTTTTTCAGTAGCTCTATGGCGCTCAGGACTTCCACTTTTGTTGGGGGATTTATGTTCACTTGTAGTTCTGTGGCTGCAGGTGGTATTTCTGGACGAAGGGCAGGTGGTGGCCGAGAGCTTTTCGAAGTGGTCAGCTCATTGTTACCTTTGTTCCTCTTCTTTGGCAATTAAATTTCCTTCATCATCTTTTATTGGTTTCGTCTGCGTTGATCTCTTCCCCACCAGATAGTAACCTGGTTATTTGATACAATGTTGTCAGGTCTCTATCTCTCCTACCTGCAGCCTGTTCTGCTTCACTTGCCAGTGTGTCGTGGAAGTGTCTTTTGAGTTTGCGCGCACTCTTCTTCACTTTTTTGTCCAGTTTAGTGTTTTATACATTGTACTCAGTTGCTCTTCTTGTCGTTCACCCTTGCACGGGTTCATCTTCTGCTAAACCATCCTCCTCTCCTTTCTCAGCTTCCATGTGTCCGTGCAGATCCATTCCTTATCTTCTTTCTTCTTCCTTCTTAACACGGTTATGCAGGTTTCTTTCCACATGACTTTCAGTTTTTCATTCTTTGGTAAATGCAAATACCGAAGTAGTAAACATCATTCACCTAATGCCCACTTCTTTCAGACCATCAAATCCCAATTTGATTTGGGTATTTATAAATTGACTGTCTGTTTGATGGCTACAGAGAAGTATGTGCTACTTGGTTAGGCCTGTTGAGATGTTAAGAATCAGTGGTTGGTGATTGTCAGCGAAATAACTTACAGTCGACCGCAGTGATACTGTTATGTTCATCCTATATCAGAAGTTTGACTGTATTCATCGAATTATCTCTTTTACTCTTTTTGTTTCACAGTCTATGTTGTCTTGAATTGTAGCACTTTGGGGTGATACATTTGAGTATAGGACTCGATCTTCTGTTTACTCCCCAATCAGGTTACACATGATTGAGTAAAAGTGAAAGGAAACTTTTGAGCTATATTAGTAATTAGATTGCATGTATTAGCTGGCGATAGACACGTTTTGTATTGCCTTGTTTTCCACCACCTGTATATTTTCTATGAGCTGACTTTTCTTTCATTTAACTATTTTAGTGCAATAAACGTCATGTTTGGGTGCAGAAATCATTGTCCAACAAATTCGGTCATCAAAAGTTATCCAGACTAACAATTGCTATTGGAAATACTGCTTCTAACAAGACTCTTATAGCTACAGAGCTTGAAGACAACACAGATGATCATCATTCCAATCCTATTGCTGCACCAGCCGGTTCACTACGTAACGTGTATCCTGCTCCAGAATTTATTCCTCTCATGTCTGAAAGTGATGATTTCATGGTAAATACAGACGCAAGTTGTCTATGAACTATTGATACCAAGCTTAGTTCATTGCATTTGATGAGTAAAGTTGAAGTACTCGTGTACAGATTGTATATTTGCAGGCATCATATTGGAATAAAAGTCTCCATTTATTTCCCTATTATTTGTCAATCATGTCTTGTTTACATAATGAAACTGTATGGCGAATCCTGCAGACCATATAATTATTGCATTTATTCTTAACCACACCACCTTAAAGGGCTTTGCTTCGAAACACGATGTATATTCCTGCTGATTTTGTACTTCTAAGAATATCTTACACTTTCTTTTGTTCATATTTACTTTTTGATATAATAAAATTACATAACTGTACGAAAACGTGTACTGTTTGATGACTCTAGAACAGCTTGAAGTAATTATTTACAAAAACAAACAATTTGAAAGCCATTTGATTGAACAAAGAATATTCTTTTCGATAGCTCCATCAGGTCCTACAGTTATGTGTAAATGTTGAGAAATTGTCCGGCAACATCATTAAGATTTTACTTGACGAAGCCAATTCAGAAAAGTCTTGTGCGTAAAGGTTACTGATAAAATCAGTTGTTACTGGGTTTCCACTCAATATAATTGGTGAACGGTGATCACTGGCTAGAGTTACTGAAGTACTACCTAGCACGAGGCAATCACGTATGGTCCACTGTGGCTGGCCTCAATTCCTGTCGTCGCAGGCTTCAATAAGCGGAAGAAATCCTTCGTTGATAACCTTAAAGAAATCAGACTGACAAACATTTTAAAGATCCTTGGCTCTGTAGTTTTCATACATCTAAATGAATTTTGAAACAGTAAACCTGAGAAAACTAAGCAAGTTTTTGGCCTGGTCGTGGGTTTACTGACTAGATTTTCACACTGACACTGGTTTCTCTTCTTGATCTGAAGGCTGCACTAGACTCCATCTGCCAGAACGTCTTATGGCTCCCTTTTACTGGAAGTGTTGCTGGGTTAGTACACCACTCTACTAAAGCTTCTGTATTCGAATACTCGTGGGCGTGCTAACATCTGCGATGAGTTGTGTACGTCAAGCGGTATTCACCAAAGATGTCCACTCTTTCCACTTTTATCTCATGTTGTTATAAGTGTACTTATATGGAGGTCGTCGTCTGACTTAGCAGGAATCGATTTTATCACAGGAGAATCCTTAGTAGATCTAGGGTACACAGATGACATAGTCCTGTTAGGTCAAAACGGAGAATCTTCTAGACACATTGAGTTGCAATTTGCTAATATTTAAGGTATGTTTCCTGCCACCCAAATTCAAATTGTTGCACCAGGACTGGCCCCCGGTGGTGCCTTGCTGAACAACATACAGTAAAGTGGTTGGGCGTATTGACCAATTCACTAACTTGGAAAGTAGTATCTGCCCCGGCGGGTCAGTGATTGATGAAATCTCACCGACACAAAATGCTCGATTGGCCACCGGCATGATATCCCATGTCATTTGAACTGCCTACCAGTTCAATCTGTTTCATTATGTAACGTAATTTAAGTAGTATTAGAAATAATGTTCGCATTATTGTGTTAAGGATGCTTGATCTTTTTAGCCCCTCGATTTTCAACCATCGTGTTATACGTTCGAAAATGACCTCATATTAGTTTTAGTGGCCAAAGGATATATATATATATATATATATATATATATATATATATATATATATATATATATATATATATATATATATATATATATATATATAGCCTTCACTTGTTCACTGTACTGAATTATTATTCTAATTAACTCTTCCAGTAAAATTATGGAGATTACAAATGTCATTACACAGTAGTGGTTCGATTGATTTGTACTACCGTATTATATCTCAAACTAAGTGATGTATCTTTTCTAACAAACTACAGACATTTATCAACAGCTGCTGCCCATGCTCACTCGATTCTGAAGATCAGATGGCCAGAAATAATAAGCAACAAGGATCTCTGGGAATGGACTGACGAAGCAAGAACCTATCACCCAGCAGATATGCAGAAGAAAGTGGAGATGGATCGGGCATTCACTGAGAAGGCCGATTGGCGACATCACGCGCCAGGCCGTCGAGTGGTATACAGAGAGGAAACGGCTAGTTGGGCATCCCAGCTGAGGGTGACATGGAGGAGATCATGTGAGGAAGAAATGAAAGCTCCTGGGCAGTCTTGGAGCGAGGTTCAAAAGACTGCCGAGAAGAGAGTGCAATGGAGGCGCGCTACTGAAGCCCTATGTTCCAATAGGAACCCAAGGGACGAATAGAAATAAGTGATGTATCTAGATAGATAAGATCAATCTACTAATTTAACTGTGGTAATCCTTCAAACGTGAGCATCACCCATTTTTTGCCATATCTTAACCAAGAGTTGGTGCAGACCAGTCCACAAGTTTCATCTTACATTTCACAGGTGCGTTGTGTAAGGCGAATATTCTCAGGTTTTCTAGAAGTCTGCATCTTGTCATCATATTTTACGCAAGAAGATTGTCATTCGAATAACCTAAGTTACTCAGGTGCCCTACAGGAAGTAATTCAATCTGTGAGGAATCGGAAGCGCTTAGAAGTCATTCTACCAGCATATGTATAACAAAGTTACGCAAGAGTAGTGAGAATGGAAATTTTTGGCGGACACCACTGAATGTCATGCGTGTAGTAATATTAACATTATTTAAATCTGATCCCACTGAAGTCAATGTTCGGCACTGGTATAAGTTATGGTGCAGGATACATAAAAATTACTTCACTCAATCAGTGAGTGTTCATTACATTACATAATGCCTCATGTTTACCCTTGATATCATTCAGACGGCAATTCACCAACTACGTATTGGTGTTGCGAAGAAAATAACAGTGAAATAATTGAAGCCTTCTAAGGTCCTTCAACTTTGAGAATCGTGTTTTACCACCTCATTGAACGACAGAGTGCACTACCAGGCAGTGTACTCAACCATTTCCCTGCAAACATACCGCTCGGGTTCTAAAAGTACCAGAATTTCGTGAAAATCAAATATCTATAGGCATCTGTACTAATATTCCGTCGACCATTAATCCACTGTATATGATACAGATTTCCAGGCATGTAAAGTTATCAGTGTGCCTAAACACCTCACTCCTTGTTGTCAACCCGTATGAATACAATCTAATTCTGAAATAATAATTTGCATTTAGAAAATGAGAAAAGTATTTTAAATATTATCCAGTTTTCATTTAAAGTGTCAAGAATGCTATTTATCCAATGAACCCCTTCATCCTACCACACAACATCGTCTGTTTCCCCTGACTTGATTAAAGAATCTCGAATAACGATCTTTTCGGGAATTCTGTACAGCTTTTATAATTGTATACTCGGCAAACTATTGAAATGTAAGGTTATTATTCTTGTGCAATGGACAATTTAGAAATTAATTCTAAGTTCTCTGAGGAGAGTTTAGTAATGTCTGAAAGTTTTGTTGACGAAAATTTTGATTTTTGATTTTAAAAAATCCAAAAAATCATTATATTTGTACTAACTACACCTGAAAAAAATCAATGCATTCACTATCTCTATTATTTTATTAGTGTTTCACTCGTGTGTTTTTATGATTTGGAAACTTCTATATGGTTATAGCTGCTAATGGATATCGGCTGTCAGTCAACAGCATTCAACAAATTCCTAATTGATTCCCGACCAGACCAGTGTATGGAGAAGACATGTTGCACGTGTGGAAACGTGTATTGGGGTCGAAAGATCGAAGACTAAAACAAAGGAATATACAACTAATATAAACATAGTTCACTGTTTAAATTAATCCTATTGATTGGCTGATCCACCGTCTGTCTGTCTAACTATAAACGTGATAGCGTAAACCACATTTTGATTGGTCCCTCTCCAGACTAAGCTTTTCTCTCTCTATCCCCATGTCATGTGTAGGACTAGTTTCATTAATAACTCCTTTGAGAATACTCAACTTCTGGTGATCCAAAAGTAAACAAGAATAGTGTTTATTGTTATTAGTACGACCTAGAATTCTGTTCTGCGATTATTACAAAGAGTGTGGATCAAGTAACTCATCCATCTGTCAACAACTGAAAAATCAAATAAATAAAAGAAAAAGCAATATCGAACTTATTAATCTTCACTTCAATTAAAAATAACGGTAAGACATAAGGTATTTATAAGATTTTTAGTAGTGACCTTGGAAACACCCAATCAGGATTCAGGAACCAGTAAATTGATTTTTTATGAATAGGAATGCTGTTTTAATTAATCTATTTATACAGTGGAATTTCTGGCGAAGAATTGTATCTCGTAACAGTCACTATTTCAGATGCATGCAATAACACTTAGTTTAATATTTGTTTACGCTTCATAAGATGTAATTCACCTCCAGTAATGTCTAAAATAAAGGTAGCAAGACTATTGAAGTTTAGTCAATAAAATGTCTTGAGAGAGAGGGGGCGGATGAATTGACTATTTTTGAATAGATGAAATTGGTTATGAGGATCGGTAGAAATGAAGTACCGATCCCAGTGACCTTGCAGTAAGTTGTTAACTAACTTTCAGTGCACTGAAGATAAAAATCTGTATTTCTCTTTGAACATGGAAAATTATGCAATTTTTGAGGAGAATAATGACATTTCTAACCACGACCAATGAGCTGTGACCATTAAATATTAAATTAATCGAATATTGGCATCTAGAGATGATGAAATTAGGATTAGTCACAAGGGCCTAAAAAATGGATTTATAAAACTTGTATTTAACTCTTGAGGTTTCACTTGTTTAGTTGGGAATGAAGCACTCATTATCACATTCAAAGCATATGATCTAAATAATCGTGATTACTGAAGTAAATACATATGAGTGCATGATCCTGAAGGCACCTACACTCTGAAAGAATTTCCAAATATAATATTCTTAGTCATTAGGTATATGATCTCGTCTAGATGATCTTATTACCCAAATTATAATTGTTCTCCGAATGTTTGTGCAATATACACTACAGACTAAGAACAGCGTTTGTAAATTATTCTGAT